TTTTTTGAGATGTTCTCACTATGTAGTTGAGACTGACCTGGAACTCACTATGTAGCCCAGGCTGGTCTCAAAGTGATCCTCCTGCCTCAGCCTCTAGAGTGCTGAGATTATAGGCATTCTCCACCACCTATGTCTGTTATAATGCTCAGAAAGTTATTCTAAACAAAGTAAAATCAAACGTGCAACTGGGCTTTGAGCACTCGCCCTCCGAGGCTGAGGCAGGAGGATCAAAGACCAGCCTGGGCCTACCTAGTGAGTTCCAGGTCAGTCTCAACTATATAGTGAGACCCTGTCTCAGAAAACCAAAAAAAAACCAAAACCAAAACCAAAAACATAGTTTCTAATTTTAGCTTTACCACCTATTTGTTTATTTTTTTTGTTTGTTTGTTTTTTGTTTTTTTTTTGGTACCTGGGATCAAACTCGGGTCCTTGGGTTTGTGAGGCAGGCGCCAGAACCTCTGAGCTAAATCCCCGGCCCCCACCTATCTGTTTATGAGTAATCATATTTCTGTATGATAATGTAGAATGTATTTCTGTGGAAACCTAGTATATGTTTATGGACATGATCAGAAAGAAGAGTAAGAGATATCTGGAGACATCATTACATGAGGAGACTATGAGACTGGAACTAAAGAAGTGACATGGTTAGCTTAAAAATTGTATGGTTCCTTAGATTTTGTAAGGTTCTCCCTTAAATTTTGCTTGTTGATTCTTGACATCCTTGTGAAAATGGTAGTTAGTATTTTCTTCCTATTTTACAGATGAGGTGATAAGGTTCCTAGAAATTACCTTGCTTCTTCAAGGTCTCAGGGCTGATAACAGACTGCTCATTTGTTTATTTACCTCTCAGTCTGCAGACCTCTGTTGAATGCGGGTTATAGGCGTGGTGGATGGAGACTTGAATAATGCACACTCCTTGCCTTCAAGAAGCCCATAGTTGTGGCTATTGAATTACTATTTTGAATTCTAAGGAGTGACATGTAGTGAAGTATACCCAAAATCCTGAAATCTACCCCCACCCCACAAGTTTTAGTTGTTCAAGAAGCATTAAGGAGAACTATCAGTAGGGATCCTGTGTGAGCTCGTTGAGGTTGTCACTTGGAGAGGATAACTGTGGCGGTAAACAGATAAGGCACACTGTTGCTCCTGTTTTACTTAAGTAGCTCCTAATGAGGGGAATGGCCTTCATATAGGAGAGGGTAGAGTGATGAATGGAATTCATATTGGAAAGGATAGAATGATTATCTTAAAATGAATAAAATGCTGAAATAATGAGAACATTTAGCCACTTGAATGGAGTCAGCTCTCCAGGCCCAACTCTACAATGCTGAGTAAATTTTAGCTGCTATCACTTAAGTTTCGGAAGTGGTGGGGGTGGGGGGAGTGGGGAGATATTCTCAGCCCAACAGTGATACTCAAATTTCTTTTTTAATTATGTAGTAACATTTAGAAGTGTTACCAGTTTTTTAGGTTAAAGCAGAAAAATATCTTTACATTGGTTAAATTATGTTTAAGGGCTTTTTAAATTCCCTATAAAGTTTATCAGGCTTCCTGGGAAATTAAAATTAGTAGCTACCTAGTATAGAGATGCCATACTAAATTTATTTTTGGCACTCTAGTGAGCTAATTTCAAAATATTTTTATAGCAATTTTTATATTTACAAATCTGTGAGGGTTTTCTTGTTCCATAAAATTTGACTTTGGAAAGAAATCTATGACACGGTGTTTCTGCACATGATTTTCCTGACCTCTCACTTCAATTTTAGCTTGCTGTGTTTGCTTAGTCTCTGTTTCACTGGATTCCCTTATCATTAGACATAGAGCCTATGTGAAAGTGCCCAAAATGAAAGGAAAAGGCTATGAAGAAATTGAAAATTAAAAATTATTTTTTGAAATTAAAAAAACCCTAATTTTTAAACTTTTAAAAATTGTTTATTGGTACATTTTAGATATACATAATAAGGGCCAGGGATTTAGCTTTGTGGTTCCGCCGCAAGTGCAAGGTCCCAAGTTTGATCCCTGGCACCCCCCCCCCAAACACCCATAATGATCACATTCATCATAGGAATTTTTGCCTGTACATGATATACCTTTGCTGCTTCTTTTTCCCATTCCCCTCCCCTCCTTTCAACACTTCTTCCTCTCCTTATTTACAAAAGCTTTGAAAGAAACCCTATTTTTAATTGATGTTAATGTATAATTGCAACCCTGACAGCTAAGCCAGTGGTAGGGCTGGAAGAATTCTGTAAGATGTACCAGTATCCAGCCAAATATTTTCTGTCTTTGAGTAGGCTGATATCCCTCTATATGACATTGACCAAAGGTTTAGTGGGAGAATATTTTGTGCCATATATTGTTTTCCTTATGGGGGAAGAGTTTCTGTTTATTCATCTATTTGTTGTTGATGTGATTGGAAAATTAAAGTTTGTAAATAGTCTTGTATACTGTAAAGCATCACTGAAAGAATAGTTTTTGTTATACATACTAATGAGCAGGCTTAATTCCAAGTTTATATGAAAGTTTACAATTCACTTCATTGTAGCTATTCTGGAGTGTATCAAAACCAAGTGTTTAGTTTTTTTCAAATCTAACATTAAGTATCTTAATTATATTACAAGTATTTAAACTACCTGTTTGGTAGTGCTCAGTTATATGTTTCAATGCCATAATATCAAGTAAAATTGGAAACTCTTGGCTTCCTCCTTTTTTTTTTGAGACAGGCTGCAAAGACTATAGTCTGTGCTAGCCTTGAACTCTGTAGCCCAGGCTGGCCTTGAATTTACCATCCTCCTGCCTCAGCCTCCCGAGTGCTGGGATTACAGGCATGCGCCACCATGCTTGGCTGTTTAACAGTCTTCTATTCATTTTCTGAATTGACTGCTCACATAAGTCATTTTCCGAATAAAGTTCCAAACTGATCTTGCATAAAATTTCAGTATTTTTGTTTGAATACAGACACAGAAGTGTTTGTGTCAGGCATAAATTCAATCAACTGGACAATTAAAGAATTGTTCATATTTTGACACATGTTCACAATCTAGTGATTATGTAGCTAGTCTCCTTAGAGGTTTTGAATAGATAATGATATTTAGCCATGCTAGACATAGTATGTGTGTAGCTGAGTGTGTAACTGAGGTTTATAGAACTCTAATGGTAAACTAGTCCATGTTTTGTCTAAGCAAAAGAAAATCTTCTCTCCTTTAGCTTTCCCCCAACAGCTTTATTGAGATATAATTCATGTAGTATACAACTCAACCTTTTAAAGTGTACAATTCAGTAGTTTTTGTTACATTCACAGATTTGTGAAACCATCACTGCAGTCGGTTTTAGAATGTTTTTATCACCTTAAAAAGAAAAGCTACCAACTCCCTCCCCAGCTCACCTTTAGCCTCAGGCAACCAGTAATCTACTTTCTGTCTTTATGGATTTGCTTATTTTGCATATTTCATATAAATGGAATGATATCACATAACATTCCTTTTTCTGGGCTTTATGTTATCAGCGTCTACTCATTGTAGCATATGTTAGTACTTTGTGCCTTTTTCTGGCTGAATTGCATGGATGATAATACTGCATATTGTTTTTATCTGTTCATTGGTTAACGGGCTTGGGTGGTTTTCGGTTTGAGGCTGTTATGAATAATGCCACTGTAAATAGTCATGTACAAGTTTCTGCATGGTTGTGTGCTTTTATTTGTTCTGAGTGCATACTTAGGAGTAGAGCAGCTGTGTCACATGATAATTCTATTTTTAATCACCTGTGGAAAATGCCAAACTTTTCTGAAGTGGTTGTACCCTTTTACATTCCCTCTAGCATTGCATGAAGGTTCTGATTTCTCCACATCCAGGCCCACACTTGATATTTGACATTTTGAGTGTAACCACCCTAGCACACATGCAGTGGTATCTCACTGCGATCTCGGTATCCATTTTCCTGAAGGCTGGTGATGTTGAACGTCTTTTCCTGTGTTTATTGGCTGGCTAGCTATCTTCTTTAGAGAAATGTCTGTTTGGTGCCAGTTGAATTCTAAAGGGGACTATTGTTAACCATATTAATAGGATGTGAATACTTTTTTTTGCTATGTGAATACTTAAAAGAGCATGAAGATTGTTAGAGACCTAATGGTTCACTAATAACTCAGAACTAAAGTTTTATCTTTATTAATTAGATTTCGGAGTCAAAGGAATGTAGCTGAAGCTAGTGTATTTAGAGTTGAGCAATTGTATCATTAATTACCTATGTTTAGGATGGAGCAGTGTGGACTGGATAAACTGGTATCCTAATAGGATTGATGCAGATCTTCCCACAGGGAAGTCTGGGATTCTTGGACCTTGACTTTGATTTGATAAGCATTTTTACAGTGACTTGAGAGAAGGAAGTCTTAGTATGACCTAAATCTGAGTGAAAGCCAGTTCAGAAGTTGAGTGTAAGCGGGGTCACTGCTAAAAACTAGTGTTGGTGGCAATGATAGAAATCTACTGTGCTGGCTGTCCATAGGTGGTAACATTTTACTTGCCTATGCTGCCTAGTGGTCTAAGGAAAAAAATTTTTTTTGGTTCCATCCAACGTCTCTGATTATTGGCCATTTGTCTTTGGGCAGGTGTCTTCACCTAAATCTCAAGTTTCTCATCTCTTAAGTTGGTAGTAATTACCTGGCTCTATTTCCTAGAGTTGTAAAAATCAGGTAACAGTACAACTGGAAATAGGGAACTAAGAAAATGTAGAAAACATTGTATTCATGATGTGGTATTAATTCTGGGTGCTGTATTGTGGGGTTTTATTTGAGACAGGATCTTGCCTATGTAGTTAAGGCTGTCTTTGAACTCTCTGTGTAGCCCAGGCCATCCTTGAATTTGTGGTGATCCTCCTGCCTCAGCCTCCCAAGTACTGGGATTATAGGCGGGCTTCTCTATACCCAGCAGTGCTATGTTTTAAGTTGATAATTGACAACTTGTTTGAAAGATATGAGAGGGGACTTTTAAGTATGGTTCTAGAAGAGAACCAGAAGATAAAAGTTTCAAGGAGGTAGTTTCAGCTCCTTGATGGGCTCTAGTACTGGTAGTTCAGGCATCCTTCTGAAATGCATTATGTAGAAAACCGATAGGATTTCTGTGTAGGGCATGAAATTGCCCCATATCTTATAATGGGCAGCATTTATTGAATGTTTCCCATTTTTAAAGGTTTTATTTGCATTAAATCTTAATCCCCAGCACAACTTTGTAAGATTGGGAATCATTATCTCCATTTTACATTTGAAAAAAGAATTGAGGCATAGGTTAAATAACTTCCCCACAGTTATGGGGCTAGTCAGTTACAGAGTTAAAATTGAGACCAAGGCAGTCTAGCTCTAGGATTCGTGCTTTTAACCACTTCATTACCAACCAACTCTAGAAATTATTAAAAGTAAAAAACATTTTGTTGTTTACTTTTCCTAACTTGTAGCATGTACTGTGTATGTAATGCCACTGATGAAGAAGTGGATTAGAAAACATTTTACTTAAAGTAATGGAAAATTACTGGGTTTTTTTGTTTTTGTTTTTTGGTTTTTTGAGACAGGGTCTCACTATGTAGTTAAGACTGGCCTGCAACTCACTGTGTAGCCCAGGCTGATCTTGAACTCACAGCAATCCTCCTGCCTCAGCCTCCCGAGTACTGGGATTACAGGTGTGCGATACCACGCCCGGCTCGAAAATTGCTGTTTTAATGTCAAATACAAATGTATTAAATATTTCTTTCAATTACTGGGAAAATTTTTTTAATGTATTTGGCAAGCCTATATTAATGTCTTTTGAAATTTACTTTGGAATGAGTAAATGATATTTAATGTAAAAAATAGAAAGTTTTCAATTCAGCTGAATGCATTTACCCTTTGCTTTAAAGATGATTTCAAGCTTTTTAGATCAGCAAGCCATCCTGTTTGTGGACACTGCTGATCGCTTGGCCTCGTTAGCTAGAGATGCTCTGGTCCATGCACGCCTGCCTAGTTTTGCCATCCCATATGCCATTGATGTACTGACTACTGGCTCCTACCCACGGCTGCCAACTTGTATTAGGGTAAGTGCTTTGCCTGAATTCATAAAAGTTGAAGGCTTCGGTAAGTAAAATTGTGCAGTTAAAAATAATTTGGGTAGCCAGGCATGGTGGTGCACACCTATAATCCTAGAACTTGGAAGGCTGAGGCAGGAGGATTGCCATGAGTTCAAGGCCAGCCTGAGCTACATAGTGAGACCCTGTCTCCAAAAAAATGGGGGGGGGTAATTTGGGACTAGAATATGATAGATATCAAAATGGGTGGATGGGGGGGTGGTGATGTTGAGCAGATGAACAAACTTAATGTTCATTTATTATTGTGGCAGTTTACTGAGTTGGCATTACACTATATTGTGTTTTGTTATTTTGTTTTTTTCTCGGTGCCAGGAATTGAACTCAGCATCTTGTGCTTGCCAGGCAAGCGTGGTGCCACTGAGCTAAATCCCCGGCCTGTATTGTGTTTTATATTTTTAAGAAGTAAGGGAACTCATCTAGTGATATGAAGTTGATTTCATAAATGGAGCATGAAGAAGACAATGCTGTCTAATGGTCTTAGCTAGGTATCTAGAGGAATTACTGGTACCCTAATGCATGGTAGTAGTGGTCACCTATTTTGGATGTATACTGTAGAAATGAGTGTTGAGATTCTCTTGGGTAAAGTAAGAGAAATGTTATGTAAAGATAGGCCGAGGTAAAAAAATTATGTCCTGGGCTGAGAGTGTAGCTCAGGTGGCAGAGCACTTACCTACCTTCCTTTAAAGCCCTGGATTTGATCTGCAAAAGCAAACAACAAACAAAAAAAGCCTCTTTATCTACTTTTGTTTTTTTTTTTAACCGTGGTACTAGGGATTGAACCGACAACCTTCTGTCCTTAGCTCTTTTTTTGAAGTGGCCTCTCACGTTGCTAAGACACCCAGGTTGGGCTTAAATTTGCAATTCTCCTGCCTCAGCCTCCCAGAATGCTTAGATTATAGATGTGTACCACACATTTGGTGCATACACTTTTTATACATTATTTAAAAGTCATTTAAATTGTTTTGTAGGATAAAATTATTCCTCCAGATCCAATTACCAAAATTGAGAAACAAGCCACGCTTCATCAACTTAATCAGATTCTTAGACATCGGCTAGTAACTACAGATCTTCCGCCTCAGCTAGCAAATCTTACAGTTGGTATGTACCTGAAATTTGTGTGTATGTGTGTGTGTGTGTGTGTGTGTGAGTGTGTGCGTCTGTCTGTCTGTCTGCCTACCTGCCTGCCTGCCTGTCTCTCTGTCTCTCTCTCTCCTAGGGGAGTAGGGGGGTGGATATGGGTCTTACTGTATTGCCTAGTTGGTCTAGAACTCCTGGGCTCAAGTGATCTTCCTGCCTCAGCTGCTCAAGTACCTGGGAATGCAGGCATGTGCCACTGCATGTGGCGGCAATCCTGTTTTTAAAAGATTATTTTCTCAAATAGCTTTTGGGGTTTTATTCAGAGAAATACATTCATTATGAAGTTTTGACCCACAGTTTTGGTGGTGTTTGAATCTGTGACTTGGCAGCTATATCATTTTTTTAGTCCCTAAAATACAGTGCTGATATTTGAAGCTGTAGAGTGGTTGAAATCATCTGGGGCTAGAGGAGAAAAGAGTTCCCAGAGTTGAGCCTCCAGAAAATGCTGTTGTTAATGTTGAAAGAGTTGCCTTTGGTTTCTTAATGACCTGATGCTAACTACTGTTGATGCAGGACCCACTAAATTGTCTGAATGCTAATGAAGAACTTTGGCTAGTTTAATTTTCTTACAAGTGAGACTGAAACTTCTGGGTTAGCAAGAGAGTGCTTTTTTTTAAGCGAAGTACACTTCTTCTTTTAAAAGCAAATGGCCGTGTCAAGTTTCGAGTTGAAGGAGAATTTGAAGCCACCTTGACAGTGATGGGAGATGACCCTGATGTCCCATGGCGTCTTCTCAAGCTGGAAATTCTTGTTGAGGATAAGGAAACAGGAGGTAAATCATAAATACTGACTTAAATCATAGGTGTTGATTTAAATGTTTAGTATTGTTATATTATTGAAATAGTCCTACAGAATAATAAACGTGTGTAGCAATTTGTCCTGTAATTTGAGACAAGTTTTATGATAATCAATATACTGTATCTGTTGACTATAGAAGTTTCAGTGTTCCTCAGAGCATAATTTTCTCTAACTTCCATAGGTAATTTTAAAAAGTGGTTGTTAGTATACATTTACTTAGTTGAGCTGTGACATGACCTATATACCTCTGCTAACTGCATTCTTTTCTCCTACCAACGGAAGATGGGCGAGCTTTGGTTCATAGTATGCAAATCAACTTTATCCATCAGCTGGTGCAGTCGAGGCTCTTCGCTGATGAGAAACCTCTTCAGGACATGTACAACTGTCTACGTATCCTGAAATTTGAGACAAGCATTGTAAAGATTTTGTGTCTCCCTTAGTTCTGAACTATAGCAGCCTACCTTCCTTATCCCCTCACTCCCTGCTATTCTGGGTACAAAAAGGGCTGGGAAACTGGCCAGTGTGAAGAATAGTGGTACATCTATAGTAAAACAAATTTAAAACTTTATTGTTGACTTTGTAGGTATTCCCCAAAAGTGATTAGTTTAAAATAGTACTGTTTGGGAAAAAAGAATACTTTTTGATCAATCTATATATTCTAAAGTACGATCAATTAAGGGGCAACCTGGACCTTATGCTTTGCTTATATTGCTTCAAAATTAAATACAAAACCTTTTCTAAAATTATGTCACATAGCTGGGCATGGTGGCACGTGCCTGTAATCTCAGCACTCAGGAGGCTGAGGCAGGAGGATTGCTGGGCGTTTGAGGCCAGCCTGGGCTACATAGTGAGTTCAAGGCCTGCCTGAACTATAAAGTGGTACCTTGTCTCAACCCCTCCCTCCCAAAGTCACAAATTTTACTCCTTTTTGGGATGAATCATTGAAGAAATATTCCAGAAAATTCCTTCATAGGCAGCTGTTTTTTGGTGGTACTATAGAATGAACACAGGGCCTCTGCTCTGAGCTATATCTTCAGTGTGTCCCTCTTTTTTTCTTTTTAACTTTTAAAATTTTTTATTGAGAAAGGATTTCCCTAAGTTGCCCAGGCTGGGCTTGAACTGGTGATCCTCCTGCCTCAGGCCTTCCAAATTATATATCTAGCTTTTTGAGAATAGATCCATTGTTAAATGAAATTTGCCTGTACTTGACTGGCTGTTGGAGTAATATGTTATTAGATTTCCTTAGCAAGCTCTCAGATTCTTTCTGCTTATCACTTCAGTTAGAAGTGTTACATTCTCAGACTCTAATGTTAATCCGGGAGCGTTGGGGAGACCTTGTGCAGGTAGAAAGGTATCATGCAGGAAAGTGCCTTTCCCTCTCTGTTTGGAAGTAAGTAAAACTGGTTCTGGTAAGTTCGTGCTGTGACTAAATACTTGTGCCTTTTGTTTTCTCCCTCTCACACATCTGATTTAATAATTACGAGTAAGCTATGTGCCTGTAGTGACACGCTTTGTGTAAAGACCCATGGCATTGCATACACCATCTGAGACATCTTAATTGACATCTTTCTTTGAACTTTGCATGTTTTTAAATACATATATGTTTTTGTGTTTTGTTTTGTTTTGCTTTGTTTTGGTACCAGGGATCGAACTGGGGACCTTATGCTTGTGAGGCAGGTGGCAGCACCACTGAGCTATAAATCCCTGGCTTAAACACAAAGATATTTATCTGTTTGTACTAAGACTTACTATTATTTAAAAAGGTAGAGATTAGTTTATTCTGGGCTCATACCATATTGCTAAAAGGTCATTAGGTTAGATTGTTGAGTTTCACTTTTTGAAACGTGCTTGACTATCAGTTTTCCATTTTCAGTTATACTTTCTAAGAATTTTGTTTTAGAGAAAATTTGTATCAGGCTGTTTACATTCTCCAATTCCTGTTTGAATTTGGCTTGTTTCCCATTTTCTGTAAAGGAGTCAGTCAGGTGAATAGTATAGCACCTTGAAGACAAGTTGCTCTGTTTTAGGATTATTTGTATGCGCATGTATCTTATTTTAAATTTTGTGTCCTTTTTTAAGAGTGTATTAAGTCAAATGTTATATTTTATTACAGAATAGCTGTCTTCTCAGTATTAAAATAATCTGCCAACAGTGAGGGCCTGCCAAAGTTCTAGGTTCTGGTTAAGATATACAGTACATTGTTTCTATTTTATCTCATACGTTAACAAGTTATTTTGAAAAAAAATTGTTAATATTTATTTTTTCTTATCAGTCAACAGATTCTTGGTAGAAAAACAGGAACAGCATCTGTTCACAAAGTTACAATTAAAATTGATGAGAATGATGTCTCCAAGCCTTTACAGATTTTTCATGATCCTCCTTTGCCAGCTTCTGATTCCAAATTAGTAGAAAGAGCCATGAAGGTAAAAGTTTTCAATATATTTTAATATTGGTATGTGAATATTATTTATACTTTTATACTTAAACTTTAGACAAATTCTTTCAAATACTCATTTCTAAAATCCTGTATTTAATTTGTTTTAAGTGTTATACTTCTGCATTTGTTATTCGTGCATTTGTTATTCGTTTTTTAAAATATCTGGCACTATACTTCATGATTTATTTAATGAATTAATTTTTTTGATTTTTTGAGACAGTTTCACTGTGTAGTTCAGGCTGGTCTTGAGTTCATGGTGATCCTCTTGCCTCAGTCTTCAGAATGCTGAGATTACATGTGTGCACTACTGAGCCTGGCATTATAATGCATAATTTTAAAGATGTTCTTTTTCTTTTGTGGGGGGAAATTGAACTGAGGGCCTTGAAGTCAGCACATGCTCTGCCACTGAGTTATGAGACCAGACCATCATTTTTTATTTAAGGTCAGAATTTGAATGCTGTAGTTGGTGTATATAATATTTTGATCTATAAGCTGGGCATGAGGGCTCATACCTGCAATTCCAGCTGCTCAGGGGCTGAGGTAGGAGGACCACAAGTTTGAGGCCAGCTTGGGCAGCTTAGTGAAACCCTATCTCAAAATTAAAATGGGGATGGGGAAGTAGCTAAGTGGTAGAGCTCTTGCCTGTCATGTGCAAGGCTTTGTGGGTTTAATCCCCAGCCTTTGTAGTTTTTAAGGTTCCACTGCTATACAAGTTAATTTTAACTCCATTCCATATAAGTTAATTTTTAACTTTTTATCTGTTTATTTTTCCTTACTATTTAGTGTGATTCTAAAAGGAAGTATCTTAAAGAACCAGTAATCTACTCTCAGACTCTAAAAGTAAAAATGACTCAACTGCACATATGATTTTGTTCTTATTTGCGCAGATTGACCACTTATCAATAGAAAAACTCCTGATTGACAGTGTCCATGCAAGAGCTCATCAGAAGCTCCAGGAACTGAAGGCCATTCTTAGAGGCTTCAATGCCAATGAAAACTGTAGGTGTTTTAAACTGACATTTTTGTTTTTGTTTCTTTAAATTAATATTAACATTTGTTTTATGAAGGGTCTTTCTTACTGTGACTTCTGATATTGGTTTTGTTGTATAGGTTGAGCATTTCCCACATTTTAACTTGTAATCTACTTCCTAATTTTTTTCTTATTTTCTTATTTAGCTTGGTCTTGTTTTTGAAATATTTGTGTATTATCTCAGAATTTTTCCCCTTTTGAAATGGAACTATTTTAACATGAATCTTAAATTTCTTTGTTTTTTTTCTAGTGATAAAGCAGCACTGCAAATATTTATAATGTTTTAATAAAATATGACTGAGTAGAGCAAAACTCATTCTTTATCTTTAAATTTTTTGAATTAATACGCTAGTAAGATTCAATATAAGAAATACAGGTATTAATACATGGGGAAAAATCTTTCAAGTTTAATACCTGGTCAGGCTACACAGAGCTTATGGGAGAAGTTTTGCAGATCTCTCTTTAGCAGCATTTTGTAGATATGTCACCATCTGGGTAGCCAGAAGATCTGAGTTCAACTGTGAACTCTTGAACAAACCATTTACACACTTTGGGTCCTATTCTCCAACTGTAGCATGAAGATTTTAGTCCAGGCTCTTCCTAGATCTCCGACTCTAGTATGAGTGTGCTACAGCAGTGGTTTTTCAGCTGAAGGTGTTTATAGTGTCCTATTTCTAGTTGTTAGAGTGTTTCCAGGACAGTGACTTGAAGGTGAGGGAGAAGCTGTGGGGTTGGTCCCTCTTTAATCAGAGCATTCTGGAAATGAGGACTGCTAGAGGACAGGGTCTGCTGAGCCATCATTTTAGGGCATAATACTTGTTTTTAAAATTATTTTTCAGGGCCGGGGATTGAGCTCAGTAATGCCACCGCCTGCCTCGCAAGCACAAGGTCCAGAGTTTGATCCCCGGTACCAAAATTATTGTTCACTTTTTATTTTATTCATGTAGTTTTTTTTTTCTTTTTCTTTTTTTTTTTTAAGAGAAGTTCTAGCTATGTAGTCCAGACTGCCTCAAATGAGATCTTCCTGCCTAAACCCTGCCAAGTGCTGGGATGACAGACATGTGCCACTGCACTTGGCTTTATGTAGTCTTTTTGGGGGAGGGGGTACTGGGGATCAAACTCGGGAACTTGTGCTTGCGATGGCTTCATGTAGTCTTATTTGATCTCTTTTGTGATGAAAAAGCAAGCTTTAGTAAGATCCTTTCCTGAGACGAGGGACTATAGTCTTCTTGGTGTCCTTTAGTATAGTTGCTCTCAATCAGCTGGCTTTTTTTCTGATTTAGTTACTTTTCTCTCCTTGCTGAGACAAAATACTTGACACCCAAAGTTAAAGGGGAAAGGTTTATGTAGCTCACAGTTTTGTAGAGTTTCAGCCCATAATTGGCTGGCTCCAAGACAGAGTGGCATGGCAGAGGGGCAGAAGACTGCAAAAGCAACAAGAGACTTTAACAGTGTCTTCCTGTTCCTTTTATCTTATTCAGATGATTTAGGGCAGGTAGCACTCACGCCCTTAATCCTAGTTCTCTAGGGCCTAGCATTGCACCATGATTCACACACTGTAGATTCAGGCATCTCTGAAATAGCCCCATTTCATCTGCATGAGGCTTTGGGGGGACATTTAAATACAACATCGTCCATCTCCTAACTGAAATAACCTGGGAAATTAATAGTGTAAAGATTGGAGCATTTTAAGAAATGAGTAGGAGGGCTGGAGATTTAATTTAGTGGTTCTGCTGCCTGCCTCACAAGTGCAAAGGGCCTGAGTTCGATCCCCCATACCAGAAAAAAAAGAAATGGGTAGATAAATGCACAGTTCCAGGTGTTGGACAATGCAGATGGCAGTGTGTGGTTTCATGGGGGGTAGAAATGGCTCGGAAGAAGCAGCATGGGACTCTGGTGAGATCAAAATAGACACTGCAAGGCAATAGAAGTTATGATATAATAGGGCTCAGCTCATAGCATTGACTGACTTTTGGAAGCCAGAATGGGGTTGTGTTGACTTTACCTGGCAACACCAGCATCAGGGCATTGTGATCAGCCTGGAAGCTGCGGACCACACATAGCCATTCTTAATTGGGCTTGGTTGCTTCTGTTCATTTTCTGTAGAGAAGAATAAGGACATTGGCAATCATAAAATATATTTGTAGATAAACATCCAAGTATTGTCTCCCTTTTGGGCTATATTTCCTATCTTTTGATGCCCTGTCTTTTCAAGAATACTGTCTCAATTCCCAAAACTTAATTCTATTCTGTTGCTACACATTAGAAATTGTTTTGCTTTAAAGAATACCTTTGTACCCCATTAGGAATTATTAACTGTATAGAAATGTGAAAATCAGCAACTCTGCTTCAAATTTGTAAGTACTTTTTATTATTCCACTTAATGTAGTACATTCAGCAGAACATCATTGATTCGAACTACTCTGTCGCACTGGTCTTGAATTATAAAATATTATAAAAAATTGCTGTTCTTTTTTGTTTTTCTACTTTTAGGTGAAACTTCTGTTGGACTTGAATGTTAAACATTTGTATAAAATATGTATTAAATGTACTTGAAATTTATTTTTATCTAATTAAATGTTTCCTGAAAGTTTTTACCTTATTAATTTGTTTGATACTTTATATAAAGAATACCAATGTGAAATACTGCAAGAGGTTTTGGGTTATTTCTTTGATTCATAAGGGAATACAGATAGTGTACACATTTTTAACATTCTAGTTTTTATTTTTTATTTTTTTGAGATTGAATCCAGGGCCTTGCACATGCTCAGCATGCATACTACCACTGAGTTACACCCACATCCCTCACTTTGCTTCTTAAAGCACCTTCACAGACTTGTCATTTCTTCCTCCTAACAACCCGTGGCATGGAGAAGATGTTATTGTTTTTGTCTTACGAAGTAGCATAGAGAATCTGTGCTTGGTATATCATTACTCCCCCTCCTCCCTGCCTGCCTTTCTTTTTTTTTGTGCTGTAGCTTTAGAGGAACTTGATAGCAAGAAGAGGGTATCTCTCAGCTGAGATGCTGGTGCAGGGCTGTAATCTCAGCCCTTTGAGAGCCTGAGGCAGGAGGATTACAAATTGAAGCGCGGCCTGGGCAACTTAGTGAGCATGGCTCCAAAATAGTAGCATAGAGAATCTGTGCTTGGTATATCATTACTCCCCCTCCTCCCTGCCTGCCTTTCTTTTTTTTTGTGCTGTAGCTTTAGAGGAACTTGATAGCAAGAAGAGGGTATCTCTCAGCTGAGATGCTGGTGCAGGGCTGTAATCTCAGCCCTTTGAGAGCCTGAGGCAGGAGGATTACAAATTGAAGCGCGGCCTGGGCAACTTAGTGAGACTCTGGCTCCAAAAAAAAAAAAAAGTAAAAGTCAAAATAGCTGGTGATGTAACTCAGTGCAAAGGCCCTGGATATCTCCCAAAATAAAAACTAAGTAAGTAAGTAAGAGTATCTTTCTTTTACAACTTTTAATCTGATCAGCACTTACTGTGTTTTCAGTACTTTGGTTGTTTACTGGATTTCATTTTAACAACTTGTGGGATTAAGGGAAAATTTAATTGGGCCTGGTGGAAATACTGTGAAACTAGATCAAGTATATTGTCAACTTTTGGGATTTGTGTTTAGTAGTTGCCTATATTCTTGTTTCATCTATGACTTTAAAGTGAGGTACACAAATAACTTGAAAGGTGTTTTTTTCCTATGTAATCAATAATGTTTAATAGATCCCCAGTGTTTCTTGAAACACCTGAGCCCTATCAGAAAAAAATACTTTTCTTTTTATGAAGAATGACATTAAAAATCTTTAAGCTATAGATGATATTCTATTTACCAAACAACTGATTTTCTTGATATTTTTCAACTAATATCAAGAATATACCTACAAATTAACTTACTACCAAATACTGAGTGAAAATAAAACTAGAATGCAGCTAACTAACTGATAAGATTGGCTTTTTACTAGCTTTTTTAATTCTTTTAAAGGAAGCTAGGGTTTTTTTTTCTTCTTTTTTTTTTGATTTAATAGTTGAGTATGTTTGTTTCAAGTGAACTTTAAAATTATATTCTTCCTTTTGAGCTACTACTCATTACAGTAATTGTATTCCAAATTTTGCAAGATCATGTTTTCCCTCTAACCTTAAGGTTCTTTCAATAGTTGTTTCTCCTCACTGAGAAAATACTTTTTTAAAGAAAATATTCAGATAAAAAATAATGTTTAATTGTTAACTGTTCAGCTTCCATAGAGACTGCACTTCCAGCGCTTGTTGTCCCCATTTTGGAGCCCTGTGGTAATTCGGAGTGCCTACACATTTTTGTAGATTTGCATTCTGGAATGTTCCAGTTGATGCTCTATGGACTTGGTAAGTACTAAATCATACAGTGACTCAATGTAACAAAAAATATTTTTAACAAAAGAAAAATAAAAATGTTCTACCATTGTGTGTTGGAAGGGATGGTATAAATTGTTTTGAAAGTAGGTATGGAAGGAATAACTGGCTTATGTCTGTTTCTTGGGGCTCTAATTTAACTCTACTTTGAATTTTCTTGTACCAGAAGATAAATTTCCCAGTATAGTATATGTGTTGCAGAAGTGAACATTAAACTTCCCAATATAAAGTGAATTCATGCTGTTTCTCTTATGTAAAAGTAATAATGCTGGTGGCTGATATTTTTACATCTTACCTATCCAATATATTGGTTTGTGTTTTACCACTAATGCTCGAGGGACATGGAAATGACTGCAAGGGGTTGTAATGTCATTTTTCACTGGAGAGCATATTTATGACAGTGTAAATATCTATGATGACTTCAGGTACAGAGTCCTGGAGGGATGTATTTAGTTTTGGCTTAAACACAGTAGAAATGAAAGTTTGATTTCAAGTTTGTTTTGTAACCAAGTTGATGTTCTGAAATAATGAAGTACTTACTAGGAACTTAGTGTTTTTGTATTGTTCCTGGAACACAGTTCTTGAATATATTAGCACATTTGTCATTTGAAATTAATATTAAGGAAGAGAGATTCAAAATGAAAGCTTTTATGATCATATTGTGTGGCTATAAAGGTAAGTGTTTATATGAGCTGCTCAGGGTAAATGACGCATTGCTTTGAATCACATCACATTTATGATGGCTAAAAGATGAACAAGTGGTACATTTATGAATTCTTTTTAACTGTGGTAACAAGCCAACTAGGCAGTTGCTCTTTAAAGCTTTTTCTTTGTTTTCCTGATTATTAACATAAAATAAAGAATAAACCTAAATATATAAAAATAAGAGAAATAGTAGAAAATTATTTTTTTATGGATGTGTGCTTTTGTTAGATCAGGCTGCTCTAACAAAATACATTAGAAATTTATTTTCTCGCAGTTCTGGAGGGTAGAAATTCAGGGTACCAGTGTGCTTGATTTCTGGTGTGGGCCTTCTTGGATTTTAGCAGCTGCCTTTTCTAACTGTGCTCTCACATGGATGGGAGGAAGGGAGCACTCTCACATCCCTTTTTATAACCTCTCTAAACCTGATTCTCACAGGCTTCTGCAAATCTCACATTGGAGGTGAGGGCTTCAACATAGGAGTTTGGGGAAGTCTGGAGGACACAATTCATTCTGTGATAATGTGCTTTTATTTTTTCTGATATTCCAATTTTTTTCTATTTTTTTCTCATTAGTTGAAATTTTACTTGGTATTTATTAGTGTTTTTCTAATGTCATTAAAAATTTGGAAAGCCAGTCTTTAGCCAACAGCTCTTGCTTATGCCAGAGACCATTTGTGTTTGATAAGTAAACATTTCAATGGAATCTTTGGCTTTTGTAATTTTCAAGGTTCCAAGTCTAATAACATCATGAATTTCAAATACTTACTAGTTTCCTCACTTTTTTTTTTTTTTTTTTTTTTTTGGTTCCGGGCATCAAACTTGGGACCTTCTGCTTTTGAGGCAGGTAGTAGAACCCCTGAGCTAAATCCCTGGCACTTATAAGTTGAAAATATTAATTAGGGCTGGGGATTTAGCTCAGTGGTGCCACCGCCTGCCTATCAAGTGGAAGGTCTTGAGTTCGATCCCCAGTACGGGGGGGGGCATTAAAGTAGAAGATGGGTAATTAAAACATAGGAGTGGAGTTATTTGTGTATTACTCTTCTTCTGGTTTTCATTTGCTATGATTTGTGCTATCTGAAATACTCCTGCAATGTTAAGGAAAACAAATTAAGTTGATTTATAGGTAATGATGCATTTAGTTTAGTTTTTTCTTTGACTTCATACTTCATAGCATAGTTTTCTGCCTAAAACAATTTTCATGTAAATTTTGGGCTAAAGATTTTGTTTCTCATGTAAGCAATTAATTAATGAAGTGATTTATTTTGTAGACCAAGCCACTCTGGATGACATGGAGAAATCTATCAATGATGATATGAAGCGGATCATTCCTTGGATTCAGCAACTGAAGTAAGCTTATTTTATTTCACTCAAGACTAAAAATGGAATGTATTTTGACAGGATGTATTTTCTTCTCAACCATTACTCTTGATCAGTCCCTGTCCTTAAGTTTTATGACATGAAACTTAATTCCTTTTGGTACCTTTAGAATCTTAAATTCACTTGGAATAGGTCCAAGGTGGTGGTGGTGCTTCGTATCAAATTCCCCTCTAGAGCAAATGTAGGTATGAAGGGCATGACACTTAACTTTCATTTCTCACCACATTTTCTCCTGTACAAGCACTTACAAATCACTTACATAGTGAATTTTTTTTGTATGAAGTGTTCTCTGTAATACAGTCTTACTCGTTTTTATCTTGGTATGAATCTGTCATCTGACACTGACAATATTAATTTCTGTTTCTCTGATACCACCATTCAGTTTGTCTCAAAATCCATTAAATGTTTCATACTGTTGAACTAAATAAAATTGGAAATGGAGCTAAAGATAATTTTGTTGGGTTTCATACACAACACCCCTCTCCCTAGTAAACAAAGGTACCATTGTGGAAACACTAACAAACTCTCTTAAAATTAATAAAACAAAATTCCAAGGAGTGAAAATGAATTTCAGAGGTCAGAACCCAAACTGGCAAATTCAGAAAGGAGAGGGGAAGCTAAAAGACCCCAAAATAGCAGTATTTGGTGGGATCTTGTTTTTGTTTTCCTCTAACCTCCTTCTTCTTTTGTCAATTATGATCTTTTAAATATTTGAAAAATTCAATGTAATCAAGTAATTTTTTATTAACAGCATGTTTTTACTGACAGTAGATAGGTAATATGTGAGCTTCTTTTGAACAGCTCTTTAGTTCATCTGTATATTAAAGTCATAGTTATTAATTTGGGTAATAATTTCTAAAATTTTTAGTTTTTTACCATCCTTTCTATGGACTTTGGCTAAACAAGCAAGGTTTAAATACCTAACATGCTTAATAATTCACATCTTTTATAACTTGAGGTTGTCAGTTCTAGCTACAAAAAGTATAACCTAAAATCAGAAAACCAAGTTCCCAGAAGCCTTAACTTATCAAATGTACATTTGTACTTTAACTCATATAATTTATTTATAAGAAAAATTCTGATTGTTACTTAGGATGGTACTTCTCAAATGGATCTGTGATGAATGGCTAGTTTATCGTTAATCTGTCATTAGACATTAATTTTTTTAACCTTTTGTGGTATTATTTATAAAGCAAGAAGTCTACCCTTTTTCAGTGTAAAATTCATTGGTTTGTCATAAATTTAACAAGTTTTACAACCATCACCAAATGTTGTCAATGGTAAGATTCCATATTGATCTTATGGGGAAATTTGATTTGGTTCTCATCCAATTCAGTTTTTGACCAGAATCGTGGAAGGAAGTAAGTTGGAACTGAGGTACCACTGTATATCAATATTTAGGTCCATTTTTTTTTTTATGTGAAAGAGTAAAATTTTATAGCATATGAATTATCTCAACTAAAGAGATTTTTTTTTTAATTAAAATTTTAACTCCCAGGATGGAGTGGTGGGGCCAGCCTCTTGAAATACCCCTTCAGTGTTTTTTTTTTCTTTTTTATTGAGGTTATTGGTACAATCTAGGTATACAAATACAGTTACATTCATCATTGGGATTCTGTACCTTTACATAATAGGTCTTGATTCTCATTTTTCCCCTTGTCCCTGCCCTCCCTTCACCCCCTCCTCCCCTCCCCATTTACAAACACTTTATTTCCATTTTTT